AATATTCTAATTTTGAGTTTCACCTGTATAATTTTTGGAAAAAAAATACACTGATTAAAAAAAAAAAAAAAAACAGGAAAAAAAAACCCCCCAAAAAAAACACTACATACATACATATGTACGCACACGCACACGTTACGGCGAGTAAATAGATACCCAACATGTCACACTTTAAAATTGAACGGAATGGCGTGAAACTGCAGTACTTAAAAATCTCCATGGGTGATGCTTTAAAAATTTCTACAGGTTAGCAGTGTAAAGTTACAGAGGAGGTCTAGTGTGAGAATTATTGCTCTTGCTCCGACGTTCATGGGGATACCTCACGTGTGTGGCTTGAACACCATGTACATATGTAGGCATGGCCTACATATGCGTTCACCATTGTGTGCGAGCACAGGGGCATTTTAAACTTTTTTTTAAGAAAAATTTATTTAATTTATTTTTTTGGCACTGTCCCTTTAAAAAAAAAAATGTAATCACTTTTATTCTTATCACAAGAAATGTATGCATCCCTTGTGATAGAAATAATTAGTGACAGTTCCTCTTTATGGAGAGATATGGTATCCATAAGACCCTACATCTCTCCTCTAATGTTAAGCGCTGGATCCAAAAAAAAAAAAAAAAAAAAAAAAAAAGCATTTATCTAGTGCTTTAAAAATGCCCAGCGCCAGGATTGTTCGATAGTTTCTCAGGTAAGGCTGAGAACTACCAAGTAGCGGATGGTGGCGGTGAGGGGCGAGGTTTTTTCGGCACCTGTATCGGTGCTTTTTTCAGATCAGTCGTTTCGGCCACTGAAATTTCGGTGCATCCCTACTATGGAGTACAGGGTTCCATGTCTAATACCTCCAGCAGACCCACTTCCAGAGAGGAAAGGTCCCCAAGTTATCTAATGTACGATACACAATCTTGTACCACAGCTCTTCTCCAAAGTCTAAACCAAAGGGAGGGAGTATAGTAATCACTAAAATAGAGAACTAGAGCTTTGCAGAGCAATTGGCTAACATTTTGGTTCCTAAAGGAAACTATTCAAGGATCAAAAGTCACCCTAGCAAATATACACACACTAAACACCAACCAATTATCTTCCCTTAAATTCTGCTTAACAAAAAACTCATGGACTGAGGCGATATTGATCTTTAAGTGCAATTAACTGGGGTTAATTTACTAAAGCCATATAAAAATAGTTTACTTTGCAAAGGAAGTTTTCCTAGTACTTGGTGAATGAGGTGAAGCTCTGCCAATGTACATCGCATGCAAGCAAAATTATGCTTAAAATTTTCCTTACATGTGAGTGGGTATTCTTTGCAAAGAAAAATGTCACCAAATTGACAAAGCTCTGGGGAATTCCCTTGCAAAAGTGAACATCTCCTACAATTAATAAATAAAAAATAGTGTAGCACTATAAATAAAAATATTTATTGCACTGTTTTGGTATCAGTTTGAGTGTTAGCAGCTGTATGGTAGGGTTCCATAACAGCTCAGGAGGAACCTTTTGATTTTTATCTCCTACAATTAACTAGCCGACACCAATATCCTTGAATAACGGGATGTCCAGAGGAAATTAAAAAAAGGTAACCTGGGCAGTAAAGCACATCAGGGCACATTTTGGGAGAAAGGTTTGTGCTTTAAGGGCCTCATCCCACTCCCCTGTCAGGTCACCCACATCATCCTCCAAGCTGCACCTAGGCCATTTGGTAGCTTGAAAGAATATGGACCCCCTTCTCTAACCGTAAAAGGAACTTCATCAAGAAAACAAACGTGCCAAAATTTGGTTGTAAATATTGCTCCTTCCATAGGCAGGATGTTTGACCTCAATGCCCCCCTCCCCATTTTCATTCCAGGATCCAGAGTGATCCAAGAAAGTGGAACAAGGACGTATGTTCCTGGTTCGTGAGGAATGGTATTACATGTAGTAAAGAATATGAATATATTCCCAAGACTAGTCTACCTCCACCAAACACTTCCTGTCAAAATTTTGTGAGTCCCCCCGCTTCCTTTTTTTTTTTCTCTTGTGTAGTGTCATGAATTCAGAAACAGCATTGGGTTAATTATTGCTCCACTAAACACAAACAGATGGAAGGTACAGTATTTCTCAACCTACCATAGAGTAGAGCAAAATAATAGACTGGTGCAAACACTCCACTCTAAAACATTGGCTCCAACTATAGAAAAAAGTATTGATCTCAAACTAAAAAGGGCCCTCTGTGGATTATAGGGAAGATCCCAGCTCACATTCCAGGTGGTTGCCTGTGGGGAATGTAATATTCACAGATCACCCGTTCTTGCCACTTATTCAACATTCGCTGTGGACAAAACCCAGCTGCAGATTTGCTCCACTTAAGTACACCCACTACATGGCACTACAAAACGCTTTTTTACTACAAATCGCATTAAACACTGCTAGGGTCTGTATCCCCTTGATGTGGAACTCGAGAGATGTAGCAAGTTTATGGCACTGGGGATGCAGCACACTTTTCTCCACCACTCCAAGAGCCACATCCTTTACCCTCCCATCTAGGTCTTCTTCATTTCCATCTGTCCTGTCCTCAGAGATGGATTCGATACCCATCTACTTTATATTAAAAATATCTTTGTTAACATGATGTCAGTTGCTGTTACAATATCTCTTTTCCCATTTGAAGATACCCTCTCTGTTCTGGTGGGAATTCTGGATTTTCCATTACTTTGACCCATCACTTGACCCCCAGTGAAAATGGTCACCAGCACAAAGAGTGAACCTCCCCAGAAAAGACATTGACAGCAATAAAAACCTGTATTGCTCTCATTGCCCTATACAAAAACTAAAATGTTGGCGGTTTACATACACTAATAATTTCTTTATGACCTTTTATTTTTATACAGCATGTTCCAGTTTTTCTTTCTCATTTTTAAGGTGACATGGTCAGGGACAAATGAACAGGATTTGTACAAAAAGGTAACAAAGTTCACTTATAACAGTAGTATACAAACTACCTACATGGTCCTGGTTGAAATTATTAGTAGCTACTTTGCATATTGTATTACTTCATTTTAGGCTTAGTCGTTCTTTGTTTCAAACTTCTCTGACTAATGGCAAGGTACAGTATCTCTCTGAATTCTGGGGGTATATCCTCTGCAGACTGGCCTGGAGGCAAAAGAGTGTTACTCTGCAAAGCCTCCTGTACAAAGTTCTCATTTCAAATGACACAGTTGACCCAGAATTGGAAACACATGTTATTTCCCAGAGTTGATCAGTAATTAAATTCAAGATAACATTGGCAAACATTTCAAACAGTATTTTATTCAGGAATGGGTTTAGGTCTGAGACAAAAAGGCAATTTTATTTTTAATGACACACACGTCAGAAAACCCCCCAAAACAAACTAATGGATTGTCATGTGTGTGGGTGCCATAATCTATTCAAAAGCCATAGCATAATATTTTTTAATCAAACACTGTAAGCTAGCATGGATGGAGCTCACATGCTCCATGTATTTGGTTGGCAACCCAGAACTGAACATTCCATTGTTCATATACAAAAAAAAAATAAAAATAAGGAGAGTTGAGATAGGGAGCATAGATTGAAAGCTCCTTGAGGGTAGGGGTTGATGTAAAATGTACAGTATGTAAAATGCTGTAAATTGTTGTCTTAACCACTTCCTGTCTGGCCCATGTATATAAACGGCAGCAGTGCAGGGGCAGGTGGACATTTATAAACATCCTCCCCGCTCCCTGGGAGCGTGCAGCACCGCGATCCGGTGCCCGCTGTGTCTTCCAGACACAGTGGAACACCAATCGTTGGACGGGACCTCTGTGTGAGGTCCCGATCATGTGATCACTGATTGGCCAATCAGTGATCAAATGAAGAGTAGTAAGCAAGAGGTCACTTCTGACATCATTGCTTACTATGTGTGAAATCTGAATAATCACAGAGGTCACATGGTACAAGGCTAATCACAACAGCCTTGTACCATGTGACAAGCTGTGACCAATCACAGCTCACACAGTATTTCTCAATGGCTGCAAGAATGCAGCCACAGAGAAGGAGAAATGATTGCTTTTACAGCCTTTCTGGGTGTAAAAAGAAAAAAAAAAAAAAAAATCATCCCCCACAAGTAGTACAGTGTCACTGTACTGCTAGGGTGACAGTATGCAAAAAAAAAAAAAAAAAAAAATTATACATTTTTGGTTATAAACTAATTTGGGTAATTTTTGTTTTTTACTAAGAAGGATAACTGAATACATTTTGGCCAATATTTATGAAGATTATATATTTGCAAATAAGAAAAACAGTTTTTTTTAATTTTTGGACTTTAATTTATATAGCAAAAAAAAAAATAAAAATCCCAGTGGTGAATAAATACCACCAAAATAAAGTTTTATCTATCTCAAAAAAAAAAAAAAAAAATGCAAAAAAATTCATATGGGTACAGTGTTGCATGACCACACAATTGTCATTCAGTGTGACAGCACTGAAAGCTGAAAATTATCCTAGACAGGAAGGGGGTAAAAGTGTCCGGACTTGAAGTGGTTATGAAATGCAGAAAGTAGAGCCTGGCATGCCTCATCTTCAGCATTTCTTTTGCTGGTGCTTGCTTCTGGCAGATGCTGGTTGCTGGAGACAGGTGCATTCTAGCAAAGCATCCATCTCCTTGGGCAGAAGTGGTGACACTTGGACATTGCAGCTATTGTTACAGGGTATCTAGATAGATGGGACAAAACGTTACATGTCTTTTATCCCATCAGGATCTGAATACTTTAAAAAAAAAGTGATACTTTATTTATAATCAAGCTAGACTGCAATTTCACAGAAACGGCATCAATTCTCTTGCAGAAATTGTTCTAGAGATAAAGAATCTAGTGAGTGTTAGTCAACCTGTCATAAACCAGAAAGGTCAGTTTTGGGGTGGAGCAGTCCTTAAAAGAATAAAATATCACACTAAATCAAAGACCTGGTTTCCTGTAACTGTTTACCATTGCTCTGTATGAAACACTGTAGACTACTAAGTAACTGCACCCACCTGTGATAAGTTGCCAGACTTTCCAACCCCTTTCCCCACTTCCAGCCTTTCCAGCAGAGACTGCATTTGCGATAATGTCAGGGTCTCATTTTCTCCATATCTCTGTAAGAGGTCTTCCAAGAAGGATGCAGCTGTCAGTTCATTCTTGGTACTAGAAATGGTAGTCTGTGTCAGAGAGTTGAGTGGAGCCAGCCCAAACACCAGTGCCACCAGGAGAAGCCATACAGGAGCCATGATAATTACTACAGGAAACCAGAAAGAATTTTAGGAGAGTTATAATGTCTCACAGCAAAAAAAAACAACACATTTCAGATTATCAATTTTGCCCATCATGCGGACTCTCTGGCTTTAAGAACATAAGCCACTGAAGAAGGCCGATCTCATCTGACTCTTAGTGATGGCGATGTTGTCTTGATTGGGGTTGTACTACAGTAGAGACACTAGAGGGTCTAATTTTAAAACATTCGTTGGACAAATGTTGTGCACATTCATGCAGTCTGCACAAATTTTGGCTGCCATTTCTGTAAAGGGTTCAAATCTGATGAACGTTAGCTTTATCTAGCTGCCAAAAAGCAGTATATTTTCCTATGGAGGTATTGCAGAAAAACTACAGTTGCCTGCCCATGATCCTGACAGGTCCATGTTGTGTTGGCTAAGGGGAAGACACAGCAGTCACTGAATCTACCAGTCAGTCCTGGAGTCTCCTGAGCGTGAGGACAAAATACCATTCATTCCTATACAAAGGATTCCATCATGCGATCCAATGACAGATGGTCTCCACAAAAATGAATAAGATTTGTCTGCATGTGCAAAGAAGACTATGCAAAAAGTAAACGGTTAGGCTGTAGGACAGTAATAAACTCAACAGAGACTTTAAAAATAATTTTTAAAGGAACATAAGAACCACCTTCCTCATCACATGACAATAGGCATGATCAATGAAATAGGAGGTAGACTATAGAGGAGCTTCAGTAATGTGCAAAAGCTGAATAAAAGGAAATAAGGGCAATGTCTGGGATCTGTACCCCTATTGCGGCAGGTGTGCTGAACAAAGACAGATGCCCTGTAAAGCTGTTTTAAAACCCAAAAATGTAACATATAGCAGATTATATCATATGTGGTGGCAGCATTATTATTTTTTTTTTTTTTTAGGTTTTTCCTACCATTTTCACCTGGTGATCTGGCCAGTAACACATCTCCTGTATTAGAGAGCATCCACTCTGCATGAATGAGCACAGGGGGCACGCTTGGAGAGCAGAATTGTCAGTCTGGAGGAAGGGAAGTGTTAGATGGACTAGCAGAAATAAATACACTAGCAAATTAAAGCCAAATTGCAGCTAACACTTTATAAGCTGTTAGAACAAACAGTTTTTTCCTTTTGGTGTATAGGTTTTACAGTGGGGCAAAAAAGTATTTATTCAGCCACCAATTGTGCAAGTTCTCCCACTTAAAAAGATGAGAGAAGCCTGTAATTGGCATCATAGGTATCACCTCAACTATGAGGGACAAAATGAGAAAACAAATCCAGACAATTACATTGGCTGATTTTGAAAGAATTTATTTGCAAATTATGGTGGAAAATAAGTATTTGGTCAATATCAAAAGTTCATCTCAATACTTTGTTATATATCCTTTGTTGGCAATGACAGAGGTCAGATGTTTCCTGTAAGTCTTCACAAGGTTGGCACACACTGTTGCTGGTATGTTGGCCCATTCCTCCATGCAGATCTCCTCTAGAGCAGTGATGTTTTGGGGCTGTCGCTGGGCAACACGGACTTTCAACTCCCTCCAAAGGTTTTCTATGGGGTTGAGATCTGGAGACTGGCTAGGCCACTCCAGGACCTTGAAATGCTTCTTACGAAGCCACTCCTTCATTGCCCGGGTGGTATGTTTGGGTTCATTGTCATGTTGGAAGACCCAGGCACGTTTCATCTTCAATGCCCTTGCTGATGGAAGGAGGTTTGCACTCAAAATCTCACGAAACATGGCCCCATTCATTCTGTCCTGTACATGGATCAGTCGTCCTGGTCCCTTTGCGGAGAAACAGCCCCAAAGCATGATGTTGCCACCCCCATGCTTCACAGTAGGTATGGTGTTCTTTGGACGCAACTCAGCATTCTCTCTTCTCCAAACACGACAAGTTGTGTTTCTGCCAAACAGTTCTATTTTGGTTTCATCTGACCATATGACATTCTCCCAATCCTCTTCTGGATCATCCAAATGCTCTCTAGCAAACTTCAGACAGGCCCGGACATGTACTGGCTTAAGCAGGGGGACACGTCTGGCACTGCAGGATCTGAGTCCCTGGCGGCGAAGTGTGTTACTGATGGTATCCTTTGTTACGTTGGTCCCAGCTCTCTGCAGGTCATTCACTAGGTCCCCCCATGTGGTCCTGGGATTTTTGATCACCGTTCTTATGATCATTTTGACCCCAAGGGTGAGATCTTGCGTGGAGCCCCAGGTCGAGGGAGATTATCAGTGGTCTTGTATGACTTCCATTTTCTAATTATTGCTCCCACAGTTGGTTTGTTCACACCAAGCTGCTTGCCTATTGCAGATTCAGTCTTCCCAGCCTGGTGCAGGTCTACAATTTTGTTTCTGGTGTCCTTCGACAGCTCTTTGGTCTTCACCATAGTGGAGTTTGGAGTGTGACTGTTTGAGGTTGTGGACAGGTGTCTTTTATACGGATAACAAGTTCAAACAGGTGCCATTGATACAGGTAATGAGTGCAGGACAGAGGAGCCTCTTAAAGAAGAAGGTACAGGTCTGTGAGAGCCAGAAATCTTGCTTGTTTGTAGGTGACCAAATACTTATTTTCCACCATAATTTGCAAATAAATTCTTTCGAAATCAGCCAATGTGATTGTCTGGATTTGTTTTCTCATTTTGTCTCTCATAGTTGAGGTCTACCTATGATGCCAATTACAGGCCTCTCTCATCTTTGTAAGTGGGAGAACTTGCACAATTGGTGGCTGACTAAATACTTTTTTGCCCCACTGTACATAAGTAAAAACAAAAAAGCTGATCATTGTAAGCACCCCTGTCAGTGTTAAATGGTTTGTCCCAAGGCTTTAACTGATACATCTGCAGGACAGCTTTTTGTTTTGAAAAACAGACTTACTGGCTGGATCACCAGTTATGTATATATATGAAACAAAAGCTTAAAAAAGAAAACTAATGCAACCATCACATCCTAGAATTGGTAAACTGCAATATAACACATTTTTGCTTAAATACTGCTTTAAGCATTACTTTCCTAAACAAAGTGTTGTATTGTCATCCGTGATTCTGCCAGCAATTTCAAATTGTACTGTTAAAATGTATAATTGCTCATCAGCATGTTGAGGTGCCATTTATCTTAACCACTTCCGCCCGGCCTATAGCCAGCTGGCGACAGGGCGAGCAGCTCGTCCCTCCGGGTGGACGCCATATGGCATCCTTTCAGGCATGCGCAGTTTGTCTCCCCGCAGAGCCGCGCAGCCCATCACCGGCCATGTACCTCAGACACGGCAGATGACAGATCTGAGTACCGGCCCCGTTGCCAGTACCATGTGACCTGCTGTGACCAATCACAGCAGGTCACATGACAGTTATATACAATGGATGGCATGAAGCCATCCATTGTATACAAGTGTGGCTAGCTGCGAATGGTCACAGGGATCATATGCACAAGCTGGGCCAATCACAGCCCAGCTGTGTCATGTGATTAGCGGTGACCAATTAACAGTTAAGCACAAAAAAAAAAAAAAAAAAAAAAAAAACCCTGAATGAATCGATTTCATTCAGGTAAATGCTTGCTTATAGCAAAGTAATTCTTTGCTATAAGCAAATTGTGTATAAAAAACAAAAAATTCTGATCACTTATCCAAAGTAGTACAATGTTACTATGGTAACAGTATACTACTTTGGTCATAGTGAAATATGAAAAAAAAAAATCTTAAAAAAGAGAAAAAAAGTATTAAAAACTTAAAAAAAAAATTATTAATTTTTTTTCATACTGTCACCAGTCAGTGTCCCTGATCACCGCCATGCCAGTTATAGGATGACACTGTACTGCACTGGTGACAGTATGTTAAAAAAAAAAAAAAACAGTGAAAATCATTTTTTTTAATTTCATTTCCAAAAATTATGACAAAAAAATTACAACTTCAAAAAACTCGCCATGCCTGTTATGAAATACATCGTACGGTCTACTTTGCAAAAAGGGGTCATTTAGGGGATATCTGTATTCTTGGACCTCAAGAAATTAGAAATTAGCCGTCAGTACTTCAGGACTGATCAATATTCAGTTATATCCTATAGTTTGTGAACTCTATAACTTTCCTACAAACTAAATAATACATCCTAATTTGGGTTATTTTCACCAAAGACATGGAGCAGAATACATCTCGGCCTAAATTTATGAAGAACAATTATTTATTTGCAAAATTTGTAACAGAAACAAAGAAAAACGTGTTTTTTTTTCAAACTTTTTTTGTCTTTTTTTGGTAATTTAGCAAAAAATAAAAACCACAGTGGTGATTAAATACCACCAAAAGAAAGCTCTAGTTGTGTGAAGAAAATTATAAAATATTAGTTTGGGTACAATGTTGTATGACCGCGCAATTGTCATTCAAAGTGTGAGAGCGCTGAAACCTGAAAATTGGCCTGGGCAGGAAGGGGGTAAAAGTGCCCTGTATGGAAGTGGTTAATGACACTTCAAAATGTGGGGAGATTCTGCTGCGATTGTCATGCAACAAAATCAGACGACCCGTGTCACCCAAAAGAAGTTCCGGAACTTCTGCGCGTTGCACGGCAGAATCACCCTGCATTTTTAGGTGCCATTGAAATGAATGGATGTGAATCTGTGTACAGGTGTGAGTGTGCCTTACCAATGTCTATCTGTGTATATGCGTCAATACACAGAAGACAGCTCACAACTTTAGGTTTGGAGACTTGAAGAATGAAAAGGTGAAACCTTGGAAGATCGGAGCGATGACCATGTATGTGAAGAAGGTGAGAACTGCCAGTAGTCTCCTCCATCTATAAGATCGCTCACAATGTAACCTGCTGGTGGTATTTTGTCTACCTCCCCTATTGTGAGCAATGTGTGTATCTTCCTGGACAATCTTGCCATTTTCTGAACTATTTATGTCCTGTGTTTATTTGTACCCTCTCTGAACCACAATGTTTGTTTAACAATATTACAGACTGGAAAAGAGATGCTGAGCAGAAGAGAAACAGAGAATGACAACC